TCGACCCACCAGGACTGCGTCAACACATGATGCCTTTCCAAACTAAAACCTTTTGTCTCTATGCATTTCATATCCCTCTATTCCCTGCCTATTCATGTATCTATCAAGATACCTCTTAAATATTGCTAGTGTTTCTACCACATCCTCTGGCAGCATTTTCCACCTTCTGTGTAAAAAACTGCCCTCTCACATCTCCTTTAAACTCACCCCCTTTTACTTTAAATCCATGTCCCCATTTCCACCCTCTATTGAGAAAAAGACTCCAACTATCCATTTTATCTATGCCTCTCATAATTTTGTTACATTTTCTATCACTTCATCCCTTATCCTTTGACGTTCAAGTGAAAACAAACCAAGTTTGTCCAATATCTTCCTGTAACTAATCCCCTCCAAACCAGGCAACATCCTGGTAAACCATTTCTGTACCCTCTCTAAAGCATCCACATCCTTCTGATACTATGATGACCAGAACTATACACAATATTCCAAATGTGGCTTGACTAGAGTTCTAAATAGCTGCAACATGACTTGCCAATCTTTGTACTCTATGCCCCAACTGATGAAGGCAAACTTTCCAACTTATCCACTTGTGTTACCACTTTCAGGGAACTTTGGACCTCTACATCTCCATCCCTCTGTATGTTGATACTACTAAAGGTTCTGCCATTTATTCTATACTTCCCTCTTGCATTACATCTCCCAAAATGCATCACCTCCCATTTTTCTGGATTAAACTCTGTCTGCCATTTCTCTGCTCAAGTCTCCAGCATATCTATATCCTGCTGTATCCTCTGGCAATCTTCTTCACTATCCAGATGTGATTCATCGGAAACAACAGTGATTTAGGGGTGGAGGATAATAGGTGAAAAGCACCATGGGTCTTTCGATGGTAGGGAAAAAGCCATTCAGTTCTGTGTGATAACTCTTCCGCATATTAAAAGACAACTTGCGAAATATATGTTCAACAATGTAGCATTCTTTTTCTACTTTACAGCCTGGATTATTTATTCAAAGCCAGAAATGCTGGAGCAATAGAGATTAGATGTGTGTTATAGAGTCATACAGTACAAAACAGACCCTTCAGTCTAACCATTATGCTGAACATAATGCCAAACTAAACTAGTCCCACCTATCTGCTCCTGACCCATATCCCTCCAAATCTTTCCTATTCATATATCCATCCAAATATCTTTTAAACATTGTAATTGTACCCACATCCACCATTTCCTCAGGAAGTTCATTCCACACGCGAACCACCCTATGTGTAAAAATATTGCCTCATGTCTTTTTTAAATCTCCCACCTCTGACCTTAAAAATTTGTCCCCTAGTCTTGAAATTCCCCTTGTTGGGGAAAAGACAACTACCAACAACTCTATCTATAGACCTCATTATTTTATAAACTTCTATCAGGTCACCTCTCAACTTCCTACGCTCCACTGGGAAAAGTCCCAGCCTGTCCAGTCTTTCCTTATAACTCAAACGTTCCATACCCAGCAACATCCTGGTAAATCTCTTCTGAACCATCTCCAGCTTGATTACACCCTGCCTATAACTGGACGAACAGAACTGGACACAGTACTCCAGAAGAGGCCTCACCAATGTCCTGTAAACCCTTAACATATTGTCCCAACTCCTATACTCAAAGGACTGAGCAATGAAGGCAAGCATGCTAAATGCCTTTTTCACCATCCTGTCTATGTGTGATGCAAACTTTAAAGAACTGTGTACCTGCACCCCTACATCCCTCTGTTGTAAAACACTACCAAAGGCCCTACCATTAATTGTATAAGCCCTACCCTTGTTTATTGTACTAAAATGCAATACCTTGCATTTATCCAGATTGAACTACATCTGCCATTTTTCAGCCCATTGACTGATTCGATCAAGATCCCTTTGCAATCTTAGAAAACCTTCTTTACTGTATACAATGGCACCAATTTTGGTGCCATCTGCAGACTTACTAACCATGCCTTCTATATTCTCATCCAAATCATGTATATAAAAGACAAACAAAAGAGGACCCAGAATTATACAATATTTATTTTAGAGTTTACTTAAAAAAGTCAAGGACAATTGAAAAACGAAAAAAAAATGGATTGGGTATGCGATTTTGGCAGACATGAGGACAAAATAAAGGTGAAACTTTCTCATTTTCAGTTACAGTGTTTTGTCAAAAATACATTGTTTCTGATTGCCATGACTCGGAGTGACTTTTTTTTTACATGATCTACTGCTCTTCACCTCATTTATTGTGTAGTTATGTTCTTTGGTCCCATATCAGATAATTCTGCAGCAGCAGATATGGAAGAGATTGCCACTGCTGGCTCCTTCACATTCACATGCCCCTGGCATTATTTGTAAAGCACAGCTTCACAACATGTCAGATGCTGAACACCAGGAATTGGACCTCACATTGTAGAGCTTGATCATTATTACCAAATGCATGGTCTAGAAGAAAGGGTCACAGGCAGGGACTTGGAGGTGTTGATGAATGGGATGGTGGAGAAGAAAGCAGTAATTTTTCTAGCCAACTTACAAAGGAAACCATACCAGCCTGGACCCAGATAGTGGTCTGGGTCAGTGCAGTATCCTGGGTGAAATGCAAAACACAGCAGTGCAGCGAGAAGATTAATGACCTTTTGCCTCCAGCAGGGTAATTGCCTTTATCTTTTCTCTGCTATCTTACACTCACAGTGCCACCACTCACTTCATTCTGCTACTACACATGCCTCTCACCAAGCCTCATGGACCACAGCTCTCACTATTGCATCCATCATGTCCACTTAATAGCTCTTGCTCATCTTATCCTCCCTAACTACCAATACTTCCTGCCCTATTCACTTCTTACTTACTCAATGGGGATATCTCTCCTGCTCATATAACACGACAAACAGCTCTTCTAACAACTTCCATTATACTCAATCCTTCCATTTACAAAGTTGCAGGAAAGTCTGGCCCTCTGTCAGGCTGAATTCTCAACAGCATCCAGGCTGACCTACCTGTAATTTCTGGATTGGTTGCACTTGCCCTACAGGACTGACCGTGGAGCAATCCCTGGATTGCAAGGTCATGGATCTCCTATTGCTGGCAACTCTGAAGTTGATGTGCACAGTGCTGCAAAGTGACATATCCGCTATATGATTGAGTGAATGTTCAGTGTTCTACACCATCTCAAGATGCCTGTGCAAAAAAAAAAGTGCAGGTCACTGACACTGCCAGTGTGCAAGTCATTGCTGAAGTCAGTGTGTGCTAAAATAAATCAACATGAAGTGTACATAAGATGACAGCCTCCAAGTAAATGACAAAACGGGTGAGTGCTAAGAAAGCAATCTAAGAGCCTTAAAATGCATCCTCTGCATGAGACATATCCATGTCCCTGCACACAAAATGACCTGATGGGCAACTTTTTATGTCATAACTGTCCCTGAGCTCCAAAGTTCAGTGTCGAAGGGATGAGGCGGTGTTTGAGGTGGAGCAGAAGCAGGCATGCTGATAATGTGAACTAGTAGCTTGTCAATTTAATTTGTGTGGACGAGAGGTCAGGATGATGTTGGACTTGGAGCATGCATTGGACGATGGCTGAGACAAGCACTCAGTGAGCTGAAGTCACCAGAGATACTCTCTGATTTACATGTTGAGAATTTGCACCGTCTGGTTTTTATGCAAAGGAGAGATTATTTGGCAGTGACATATAAATAAGGTGAGTCTGGGGTCTTAACTGAAATGCAAATGTATGGTAGTCACCACTCAGTGGTGAGAATTTGTATTCATCATTTACGCTTTCAATGGAAAATTTGGAAAAGTTTTCCCATTGTCGACAGTGGATTATTTTTATTCACACTGTAGTTTCCCACTTTTCTTGTCAATGCTCATGCCACACCAGGAATAGTGAAATCTCCATGTTAAGTGACTGAACCTTAGGTCTTGGCATTCCAGTTTGAAATTAATAAGTATGTATGCTTACTTGTCTCTTATCCTTTGTTCATTGGATATTTGTAAATCATGTCTTTAGCTTGCCATAGCTGTTCCAAGAATGGGAATAGCTATGAAAAAGATTTTAAAATGTGCCCACAGAGGCAAAATTCTGATGGAGGAAAGTTGTGGGCAGAAATGATCTTCAGCAAAAAGGCATCAGAAAAACAAAATTCCAGCTGAGGTGGTGATCTGACTGCTGGCTGATACCATGAATAATTTGCAACAAGGAAAGATATTATTCTGTAACCCAAATTGTCACCATGGAAACAATGAAAAGTGGTGAAATAAAAAATGCAATCCAAATTTATCAACTGGTTGCACACAGAAATGCTGCACAGTTATTAAGCTTGAAGGGATGGAAAAGGAGGGAGACAATCAGATGCAAATTGACTGCAACAAGAGAGGAAATGCTATGAGGCAGCAGTGCCAATCACTGATGCACCATACGCCCTTAAAGGTGGGGAGAAAGAGATAAATTATTATAGAGGAGAGTTACAAAGAAGAAGAGATGTATTCTATTAGGGAAGAGATAGAAAAAGGCAGAGAGAAAGAAATTCTGCTCAGCAAAGTGGGGAGGTGGCAAGATTCGAAAAGGAGAGATACAATGTCATTGCAGTGATGGAGAGGGAGAGAGCATGTTGAATGGGAAATGCTGTGTAGAAGGAGAGCCAGTGGAACCCAGTTGAATTACGGAAGGGCAAAATCATATAGAAGAATATTGATTTTGGCTGCCACCCATGACTGGCTCTCTTGAGAGAGTGGGTTGGATGCAGTCAGGATTTAGCTATCCCATTCTTGAAACTAGTGTATCATATAACATAGAACATAAAACATAGAACATAGAACAGAACAGCACAGGAACGGACCCATCGGCCCATGATGGTATGCTGAACATGACACCAAATTAAACTAATCTCTTCTGCTTGTCCTTTAACTCACTGTCAGTATATCTCTGGGGCATCTACCAATGTTACGATATATTTATTGAGCAATGTAGCAATGAATATTCTCTTTTTTTTCATAGCTCATTATTTAGCTGTATTGCCTGAAGATGATACAAAGCATTTTGCAACTCTTCGAAGTGTTATTTTCCTTCCACCAAAAGGAAGCTGCCAGGTAGGATGGCATATAAGGTGGGAAAGTTGGAGGAGATTATCCAAAAAATAAAATCAACGATGCATTAGAAGTAATTCTTCCTTCTAAATTGGTAGGGTAAATGAATGTTGCATTTTTCACAATAGATGAGCTTTTATTATCACTTTGGTCGAGTGAATGGAACACTAAAAGTCAAATTGCACCAGCAGTACCCTGACACCTTAACAGAAATTTGGAAGCAGACAGACCCACAGGAAAGCCAATGGAAAAAAGAGGCTATCACAATCAAGAGCATGAGTAAATTTCAGGTTTGTACCTCCAATCTCACTCAGAAACAATTCTGACTGGTCCTCTGATTCAGGAAGCTGTAGCGATCAAGTGTGGGGTCCTGTTGGATGCAGGAGCTGGTTCATGAGATCAATCCATTGTGCCTTTACTACCTGTTTTCCACATCATGTGCTGCCCACACCGACCCAGTAATTTCATGTTCTCTCCTGTTCAAAACCAGAATGTGACGGAACTTTGGAATCATTTATTTATAAGGATAAGAATGAAACAATTGAGCCAGAAGTCACACTACACCAGGTTATAGTCCAACAGGTTTATTTGAAATCACAAGTGACTTCACCTGACAAAGGTGCTATGCTCCGAAAGCTTGTGATTTCAAATAAACCTGTTGGACTGTAATCTGCTGACAGGTGATTTCTGACTTTGTCCACCCCAGTCCACCACAGGCACCTTCGCATCATGAAATAATTGCTGTTTGGGAAACCAGGAGCTAATGTAGCATCGTCGGACCATCAGTGATAGGAGCCTTTGGACATGTTACATGATAGATCTGTGGGTGGCAGAGATTTGGATTATCTCTAGATTAGGAAGTGTGGAGTGTGGGAGGTCAGCCAGAAGCACCTTAGAATTGCCAAGACCGGAAACGACTAGGTCATGAAAGAGAGTTCTGGCAGCAAATAGGCTAAGGTAGGGATGGAAGTGCAGGTAGAAATAGATGACATTTGTAATGGAAAAGACACAGGGCCAGTTGCTTGTTTGCTAGTTAAGGAGAATGCTGAAGGTGCAAACTATTTAATTTATCCTGAGACTGAGAGTAGGGCTGAAGAATGGGACCAATGGCATGGATATGGAGTTTTTGGCAGGTGGTCAAGACAATGCCTAACCATATTTGCTGTAAGCCATTGTGACTAATCCAAACTGGCTTTGGAGACACATATTTTGATAACACAAAAGAACTTTGGTGCCAGATTAGGCCATTTCCCCTGCCCTCTTAAATGCCTCGATTGACTTACCTATATTACACCACTAGGCAGTGCATTTCTTTGCGTGAAAAACTTTTGCTCACATCGCATGTGCTACATTTGCTAATCATTTTAAACCTGTGCCCTCTCATTCCTAATTTTATGAACCAGAACAGTTTATCCCTACCCTACTCTCTCCAGGGTTCTCACAATTTTAAAACTTCTATTTTATCTTTCCTCTCTCCAAGTAGAACTGTCCCAACCTCTCCAATCTATTTTCATCACTGTAAATCTCTCCTGCATTCTCAAAATGCATTCACATTCTTTCCCTGGCACACAATATTCTAGCTGAGGTCTTGTGTAATTCAGCTCCTGGCTTCCTGAACACTATGGGCTTGTTAATAAATTCAGGGACACGGTATGTTTTATTAACTGTGCTCTGTACCTGCCTTGCCACTGTCAGTGACCTATGCACATATACAGCTAGATTACTCTGCTCCTGCATCTCCTTAAGAATTGATCCTCTTTTTTTTATTTTCTTTCCCTGCTCTTCCTTCCAAAATGCATGACCTCACACTTTTCCACATTGATATTCATTTGTCACCTATCTGTTCACTCCATCAATTTGTCTTTGTCCTTTTGGAGGGCTACATTATCCTCCTCACACGTTATGAAGCTTCCAAGCAAACTTTGAAATTATTCCCAATAAACCTAGATTAGGATCATTAATATATATCAGGAAAAGCAAAGGTCCCAGTATTGACCTCTAGGAATTCCAATACAAACTTTATCCTAGTCCCGACCACTACTCTGTTTCTTGTTACTTAGGTAATTTTGTAACTGTGTCGCTATAGTCCTTTTTATTCCATGTGCTATTACTTTTCTTACCACTTTGTTGTGTGTTACATTATCAAATCCATTTTGAAAGTCCATGTATACCATGTAAACATTGTTGGCTTCATCAAGCCTTTCTGTTAACTCTTCAAACAACTCAGGAAGTTAGTTAATCATTTCCCCTTTGGAAATTAATGTTGTCTCTTCCTGAACAACCCACCCTTTTTCCATGTGATGACTAATTATATCACAGGTAAGCTAGAAGATTCCACACCACTGAAATTAAAATGACTAGTCTGTAATTGCCGGGCTTGTCCTTACTACATTTTTTGAACACGAGTGTAATATTTGGAATTCTCTAGTACCCTGCCCCCTATTCTAAATCTGTTTGGTGCCAGTTCCAATCTTGCCTGATTAAAGTGGGCTTTTTCCTAGTTTTTACTTTGGATCTACTGTCCTTTTCTGTCATCATCCTAAATTTCACTGTCTTCTAAATGTTCTCCCAGTGGTACTTGGTGCACATTGCCTACCACATTTCCACAAAACAGGTCCAACAGGACATCCTTTCTATTTGGACTGAACATGCACCATTGTAGGAAATTTACCTGATGCAATTTGGGAATGTTTTGTCCTCTTTCCCTTAACACTAATACTGTCTCTGTCTACATTTGGGTAGTTAAAGTTCATAATTATAATCATGCTATAATGAGGTTGTTAACTTGCTGGCCGAGCTGGCTTGTTTTTTTATTTTGAACAAAAACGAGCCAGCTCGGCCAGTAAGTCAACAACCTCATCCACAACCCGAGCTATAGATCTTTGCCAAAACTTTAAACAATGCTATAATGTTGGCACTTCTCTGTAAATTTCCCTGCAGATTTGTTCCTCTATATCCTTCCCTCCAGTTGGTGGTCTATAGACTACATTGGGCAATGTAATTGAAGGCTTTTTGTTCCTTAGCTTTAGTCAAATTGATTCTGCTCTAGAATCCTTTGGGACATCCTCTTTCTCTGGCACTACAATGGTATCCTTAAACAATGTTATCCTTAATGAATACTACCACCAACCCCCTATCCTTCCTTTCTTATCTTTTCTGGGCACCTTGTACCCCGGAATATATAACACAAAGTCCTGCCCTTCCTTGAGCTAGGTCTCTGTTGTTACAACATTAAATTTCCACATGGCAATCTACACCTGTAACTCCCAAATCTTATTTACTCTTCACCATGCATTCAGAGAAACACCTAGTAACCCTAATTTAGATTTCATCACTTTAGCCCTTACTCCAACTTCATCAGTTGACTTTCTATTCTCTATACTAGAGCTATCCATCTCTTGAAGAATTTTGTGCACACTCTATTCTCCTCTGAAATGCTCTCTTGGTTCTCACACCTCTACTGAGCTAATTTAAAACCCTTTCATCAGCACTACTAAATTGTCCCACCAAGTACTCAGTCCAGTTCTGTTCAGGTGCAATCTGTCTGACATGGACAGGTGCCATCTTCCGTGGAGCCAGTCTCAGGGTCACAAGGATCCATATCCCTCCCTCCTGCACCATCTTTTCAGCAATGCACATATCTGCCTTATCCCTCTATTTCAAAGAAAAGCAATTGTATCATAGAAATTTGAGTTCAGACAACTCAAGCTACAGCTAATCTTAGGGGTCATGATTTCAGTGAAAACCTGTGACTGAGCAGCTGAATCACAGCTTAGTCATAACTCGTTGACTCAGAAATTGGAATTCAATTTCAGAAACAGCAGGGTTTAATGCTAAAAACAACAAAGGATGCAGCCTCATTCAGCAGTGACTTTCAAAATGTTGATTCAGTTTTACAAAACCTTTTTATTGTGTATATATATAAGTTTTGTGTTTGGAATGTCTTTGATTTTGCAGGTGAATAACTTTCTAACTTTGCATTTGCTGTGTATATGCACAGGTTATATTTCAGGGCAATATATTTGCCTCCAGTCAACCCAATGAAGTTCTTGCTGTAGATGATATTTCTTTCAGTGATGGCTGTCTCCCAGTACCAGGTAAATTCAAAGCTATATTCATGATTATTAAAGTTTAGTATCTAAAGATGCTACTGGTTTCTTTCCAAATCAAACATTACATTACAGTAACAATTTATATAGTTGAGCACAACTATTTTTAGTTTGTGTTGTCGAGAAAAAAAAGACTTAAAAATCGTGCTGCCAAAAATATATTCAAATTAAAGGGCACATTCACTTATCATGCACTCCTGTTGGGGAGTTTGCTTTGAAGAGCACATGGGCCAGAAAATTGGAATAGTTAACTTGAAGTCTAACCATTGCTTAAGCAGCATTTTCTGGGAACTGCATGAAGATACAAATTCTCATCAGAGAGAAAGTTCAAGAAAGGCTAAAACAAAATGAAGAGATTGAATAAAACAAATAAGAAATGAGATTTTGCCATCCTGAAAAGGTATAACTGAAGTGAAACTAAGATTTGCTCTTTATATAAGATTTATGCCATCTGGAAACTTACATAGATGGTCACAATCAATCTGATACTTCATCCAACCTCCCGATTCAGTCTGCATTTTCCCTACCATGTTCTGTCCTTGGGAATAAAAGGGTGATGAATCTTTGGGGGCTAGTATTGATTAGATTCAGGGATTGACTGACTCTGTGGAGGCATTGCATTTATCATTATCTCACAGGTCCAATAAAAATGGAAGGTGAGGAAAAACCTTGAAAGATATTTTCAGATTAAATTCTGTTTGCAATTAATCATTGCAGCAGAAAATAAAATCAATCTTCTTGAGGTGTCACTATTATTCTTAAATTAAGTCTGGAAATGTTCACAAACAAAATAAGATCAGTTCCATTTTATGAGACCTACAGTATTTTTATATCATGCTACATATATGATGTTTATATTTTATTTTAAGTTTTAAATCCTTGATTTTGCAAGGTCCTGCTCGTTACGTGAAAACTTTAAGTGCAGCAGAAGCTGAGTGGAAATTAATTACGGTTCTCTCAACATAATTTAAATTTTCTGGCGAGGAATAATGCATAATATAACTTTTTCCCATAGGGTAGCAAAGTCTGAGGACATAAGAACAGTACTAAGCATTTTATATCCTCAAATCCATTCCACCCAATCAAATCACATTTAATCCATAACTTAATCCCATTTACATGCCTCAGTTCCATATCCTGCATCCTTGCCGAAGAAAAATCCATTAATTCCACTTCCAAAATATTCAAATTAACAAGCCTCCGCTTCTTGGAGAAGAATGTTCCAGATATCTATGATGCTTTGTGTGGAGAAATAAATCTGGAGATCAGCCCTGATGTCAGATCTCTCATGTTAATTCAATCAAATATTCTTCGCAATGTTATTTGGTCAGCAGTTATCAGAAGAGGAGCAAAAATGTGTGAGCAGTTGATCCCTAACATCACTGAGCAGGAACGTGATGGTGACATTTTCTCATCTGTTAAATGTTGGAACTATGATATTGTAAATCATGCTTTTTCCCACAGGATTTGTGATTGATTTTATAAGCATTCTTACAGATATATCATGGATTTCTGTTGCTTCAGGCATTCTAGTGCTCCAAGGCCCCCACTAAATTTGATGTAAACATTTCCTTAGGTCTCCGTTTTGTCTCCCACCTTACATTTTTTTGCTGACTTCAGAAAGGAATTGGTGCCAGGACAAAACCTCCCAGGCCACTGGCTTACTTAAGGTAGTGAATATATGATGATGGTCATGGTGTTCTTTTACATCTCTGATTCCCATCACATGTTAAATCGGGCTTTGTAGATCGACTGATGTTAGTACAGTTTTCTTTTATGGTTCAGCTCAGTATGTCCTTTAAGCAAGCCCTGATGTCATCAGTATCTTAAACAAGTCATCAGTGCTCATCATTTAATTAAAAGTACTCAGGGCAGCAGACATGGGAAAATGTATTTCAACTCAGTCTAATTCTTTGTAACATTAATTTTATTTCTGTAGATGAGATTCTCCCTAAGGAAATTAATTATTTGAACATCAAGCTACATCAAAAGTAATATGTGAAATTCTCCCTTCTCCTCATTATATTCCAAATCTTCACACATGGGCTATGCATCAGTCAAAAAAAGACTCATAATATCTTGCCCTCTTTGGGTTTCCAGGGAATGGTGAGTTGGGTCAGAATCAACCTTTTCTAATTCTAATAAAAATAAGGGTCAAGTTTGACAAAGAAATAAAATGTTTTCCATTAATTGAAGGCTGTTTATGATCTTAGTTGATGTTACAATGTCATGTGGAACCCCTAGGAACATAAAAATACTTTAATTCAAGAAAAGGTTATTTGTATGCATTTAGCCTTTGCTTTTTACAACCATGTATCATTTATCCTCTCAAAGGCCCTACTCATCATTTTTGATCACTTTAGTCAAAGAATCGTCATTATAATTCTTGATAGCTGACAATAAACAAGCAGAACTCCAGGCTGTGCATCACTCCATCCTGGTTAACTAGCATTCAGAGATGATTACCAATCTCCCCATTCGAGCTACAGTCCTAACAGCATAAGGATTTTTTTTATTCCTTCATAAGGTCTGAATTTCACTGCAAAACTAGCCCTTGTTGCCCATCACTAATTTCTTGAAATGCTGTAGTCCAGCTTGTGTAAAAGGTACCGTGCTCTCAGGAATGATGTTCCAGGTTTTTGACCCAATAACCCTGAAGGAATCTCAATGTATTTCCAGGTCAGGATGATTAGTGACTTACAGTCATAGAGATGTATAGCATGGAAGCAGACTCCTCGATCCAACTTGTTCATGCAGACCAGATATCCTAGATAAATCTAGTCCTATTTGCCAGCATTTGGCCCATATCCCTCTAAATCCTTCCTATTGATATTCTCATCTAGATGTCTGTTAAATGTTGCAATTGTACCAGCCTCCACCACTTCCGCTGGCAGCTCATTCCATATCTGCACCGCTCTCTGTGTGAAAAACTTGCCCCTTAGTCCCTTCAAAATCTTTCCCTGCTCACCTTAAGCCTATGCCCTCTAGTTTTGGACTCCCCAACCCTGGGCAAAAGACCTTGTCAACTGTCTGTATCCATGCCCATCATGATTTTATAAACCTCTATAAGGTTACCCCTCAGCCTCCGACGCTGCAGAGAAAATAACACCAGCCTGTTCAGCCTCTCCCTACAGCTCAAACCTTCTAATCCTGGTAACATCCTTGTGAATCTTTGTTTAACCCTTTCAAGTTTCACAACATCCTTCCTATAGCAGCGAGAGCCAGAGCTGCGTGCAGTATTCCAAAAGTGGCCAATGTCCCGTACAGCTGCAATATGACCTCCCAACTCCTTTACTTAGAGACTTGGCGAGGAACTTGTAGCAGTTGATGTTCTCATGCATCTGGTGCCCTTGTTCTTCTCAGGAGTCAATATCATGGATTAGAAGTTGGTGTCAAAGGAAGATTATGGAGTTGTAGTACTACATCTTGTAGACAGTACAGACTGCCATCACTCTGTATTGGTGGTGAACAGAGTGAATGCATGAGGTGTTGGTTGGGATACTGATCAAATGGCCTGCTTTGCCCTGGCTGATGTTCTGGTGTGTTTTCTGAGTCACACTCATCCAGTCAAGTAAAAACAATTGCTTCAAACTCCTGACTTGTGCCTTGTCAATTGTAGACAGGCATGGAGACTCAAGGGGCAACTTACATGCCACAGAATTCCCAACCTCTGATCTGCTTTTGCGCACACATTATTTACATAGCTGGTTTAGATCAGTTTTTAATCAATGATAACTTTCAGTATGTTGATGCAGAGGGATTCAGCAGTGGCTTGGCCAGAGTTGTGCCAGTGAATGTCAAGCAGAAATGGCTTGATTCTCTATTGATGGAGATAATCATTGCCTGACACTTGAGTGGTGTAAATATTAAATTGCTATCATACAAACCTGCACATTATCCAGGTCTTGCTGCATACAGGCACAGGCTGGTTCAGCACTTGAAAAGATGTGAATGGTGCTAAACATTTGTGGAATCATCAATGGCGTTTCCAATTCTAACATTATGATGGAGGGAAGATTATTGATGAAGCAGCTGAAGGTGGTTGGGCCCAGGACACCATCCTAAGGAACTCCTGTTGAGATAGCCTGAAGCTGAGATGATTGTCCTCCAACAGCAGATATTTCTTTGAGCTAGGTGTGAGTCTAACCAATAGACAGTTTGCCCACTGGCTCTTAATAGGGTTTATTGATGCCCCACTCAGTCAAATGCCACCTTTATGTCAAGGACAATGTTTTTGCCCTCACCTCTGGAAGTTATCTGTTTTATACATGTTTGGACCAAGGCTGAAATGAGATCTGAAACTGAATGGACCTGGTAGTATCAGAATTGAGCATTAGCAGTCAGGTGATTGTTGTATAAGTGCCAACTGATAGCACTGTGAATGACTCCTTCCATCGCATTGCTGACGATTGAGAGTAACTTGATTTTTTTCCTGCTTTTTGTAGACAGGGCATGCCTGAGCAATTTTTCACAATGTCAGGTAGATGCCAGTGTTATATCATAACCATAGATATGGAATTTCATTTCGATGGCCTTTAAAATTCAAACACATTGACAATACTATTGAAGCAGGCCTGCATCCCAAAAAGTGTTTAGTGTCATTCTAAAACCTACAAAGTTCAAGAAAGCCACAGAGTTCTACTTTTCCCATATATTTTATTACCTGTAATTTCCACTGAAAATCTACTTTTCTATTAAAATTCTCATTTGATTCTAGATCAACACTTTTTTGGAGTAGAGAGAAATTCAACCATTGCCTTTTGGTGAAAATAGTTTTCCTGTGATTACTTTATGCTAACTGCCTTGAGTTCTAAATGATGGGATCTTGATCAGATGGTCCAATGGACCGAGAAGTGGCAGATGGAATTTAGTTTAGGTAAATGTGTGGTGCTGCATTTTGGAAAGGCAAATCAGGGCAGGACTTAGACACTTAATGGTAAGGTCCTGGGGAGTGTTGCTTTACAAAGAGGCCTTGGAGTGCAGGTTCA